CAATCGAAGTGTCCCTCAAATTTATTGCAAATGAAAATGGCACTTAGGAAAATTTACATGAATCTTTTTTGTAGGGACATTTTAGTTTGAAACAAATATTCGGGACACTTTCATTTGAAATAATTCTGCGGGACACTCCAGTTTGAACCAAAATTAAGTTTCATTATTATTCTTAACCATTCATATTGAGATATTTTCAGGCTGCTGAATCAACGCGTATAGAGCGTTTTTATAACCATAACAATTTCTTCTATTCTTTTCACTCCATTTTAGTGCCTAACGTTAGCTCCCTGAGCTGAATCAGCTGTCTGGAAATATCTCAATTTAATGTCTACTTCACACCAATAAAAAATGAAATGTTCTGTTTGAAAATAAAAATGTATGCATCGATCGCATAGCATATTTTCCAAACTTTCATTTCATTTTCCAATGATTTCGTTTTTATGAGGGCACATAACTTATTATAACTTTTTCTTTGACAAAAACAAAAAATGGAATTATAGAAAAAGGTAACACATGATACAAATTGAACACAAAGACAAAAAATAATGAATTTCCCCTCAAATGCGAAAAAGGGTGTTAGTCTAGAAACATAAAAAAATGGTGTGAGAATTTCACATCTCTCTCACATTTCGGTCTGTATCTCAATTATTCAAATAAAGAACAAATCGCTAAAACAAAATTCATTTATCTCTTAGTATTCTATTATGTTGAATGGAAAATCAATGTTCCAAATATGGATGAGATTTACAAAGTATATACGCACATATATTTTTTCAAAGCTAACGGTGACGAATGAGCGAGAATCAGCGAGAACGCTTAACACGTTTACACATTCCAAATATTTAGTTGGCATTTGCAAATTGATCTGATTTAAATAACATGTACATACAAACACACACGCACTCAAAGATAAAAACTAAACTCTTTTCCAAACACACGCGAACACGACTAAACGAAAAGCAATTTGAATCGGTTTTGTGAAAGCGAGTGGAAAAAAGGGCACAGACACCAAATGCATAAGCCAAACAATGCCACTAGCTTTCAATCGATGTGTGAACGAGAAAACATGGAATATCTCCAAACTCATTTATTTTGTTGCTTTACCCATTCTTTTTTTTATCAGTTTTGTATATTCAATGCAACGGAAAAAGTGTCGGCGAAAATGTTCGTCATGTATCCCGCCAATAACAATCTATTTATTCACAGTTTTACTTTTAGAGAAGAGAAATAAAAAAACAAACAACGAAACAAAATAAGCGAAAAACCATCACGAGATTTACCATTAGACCCCTGAGGCTTCGAGAATAAAAAATCGATTTCAAATAGACAACCGTTATGGTCTAGTTTAGAAAATAGAAAAAAATAACATAAAACTCACACATTTTCTGGGTGAAATGAAATAACACAACCGACCAGAGTGAAACATACCGAGTTTTTGAAGCGGTCATTGGTTATGCGGAGATAAGGAACTCAAACATCGACATCAACTGTGATAAATTGTTGACAATATCATTTAAACGATATAAGGATTTAGTGATGCATGAAACACTTCTCTATCTGTATCTATAATTCTCTCGATTTGTTAGATTAAACACGAAATTTCTCGGGTTTCGTGTCCTTTGATTGGCCGACTGCAAATGACCACAGATTGGTTTTGAAATGTAGTCCCTTTCGGTTAAATGCTTCAATAAACATTTTCCGATGACAGAAAGAGCAGAATGATAATTTTGATACCATTTTATGTGTGTATCTACTCAAATTTAGTTGGAATTTGATTGAATTTGGACAATTTGTTGTTTTTTTCACTTTAGAAAATCATTTATAACCACATCAACTCGAAAGGCTTCGAATATTGAATTAAATTTCAACTTGACTGTGAAATTAAATTGCAGTGACCGGTTCGCGCATATTTCTATGTTTGCCTAAATACGCTAGGTAGCATAGATATGCCAAGCATAGCCGCAAACGCAACCGACGCATCGCCGTTCACTCTATATGAACAATGCACATGTTCGTTTATGCAGACGACCGTGCGCATACAATATAGCTCGAATCGAATGGCGACGGGTGCGTTACGGCTTGCGTCTCCGCTATGCTTAGCATAGCTATCAGGCATAGAAATATGCGCGAACCGGTCACTGTTAAATTGCAGGCAAATCCATTAACAACAAAGCATTTTAAAATTGCAACAGTTTAAAATGTATTTGCAGAGGCTTTATTTGCTTTTTTCTATTCAACAATGTGAGGGAGGATTAAAGTAAATAGAGAAATAACGATGCGCTGAAGAAAATAAATGGATTCTGGAACTCAACGATCCATATACGTCAAGTGGAAGACATAGTGTCAAATACATTTTATCTATGCGGTTCATTTAAACACTATATTGAGGCTTACACTTTTATTCCGCGATTATTGTAATTTCAGGAAACTTTGTACACTACGTTAAGTTAATGTTCTACGCTTTTTTCCACTTTATTGCCTCTTTTCGCGCTCGCTTTCTTTTCAATCGCATTTAATAAGTCAGTCAGTTTTCTAAATGTCTTTCATGCAAGAAAAAAAAAATCCGCTTTAAAGTTGCTTTATACTCAATGAATGCTGACAATAAAATTGAATTAAATTCACAATTTTTTTCTTCTCCTTATTTCCCTTACCGCAAACTTCTGTTATTCTTTACGTCGTATATTCATCACACAATTTCAATGTAAGGAAACTTAATAGCAAATTGATGAAAAAAAGAACTGGATGGTGGAAAAAAGAGAAAAGTCTGCTGAAAAGCTGGCATACAAGGGAACACTTCGTTGGATGCTCTTTTGTTTTGCGAGTCATTTTGTTGCAGATGACGACGAATTAGAGGACGACGTTTTCTTTATGGCAAAATAAATGAAAAATATATGCAATACACAAATTGCTTGAAGCCAAAAAAACCATATCTCTCTGTCTGTTGTGAAAGATCAAACAAGGAATTTAACTGAATCCATTTTCTAGAATGTTACCGTCACTGTTGCGACATCAACATTGCAAAGCAAAACCAACATGAAATTGTGCATATTAATCAAGACGGTTTCTTACATAAAAGTGTATGAATTTGTCAAAACCATAAATAACGCAATGAACAACAAACACAACAGGAAAAGCGAAGACAACTAATACCAAAACCTAAGGAAATTTCCGCTTCGATAAACGATTTGAAGCACTCAAGTTAAACTGCTTTCCTGCAGGAATATATACGTATACATAGTCACGCGACTCCTAACGAGATTTTACCATTAAAACAATCACAAAAAGTAAGCTTGTTAGAAATAATTATATAAAGTGCGAACGCGCACTTGTTCAACTTGAAAACTAAATGTAACTAACAAAACTTCGTAGTTTGTTTTACCATTGTTTTTTTTTTCGAAAAAAAAAATCTTGGAAAGTTGTAATCGAAACAGTGGTTTCTTTCTTCTTCCGTTTATACACATTAAAATCAAATAAAAAGCAGAAGCGAGCAGAAGTATTAAATAAAAAGTAAAAGAATGTTGAATTGATTTTGGCATTAGTTTTATTCATAAAAAAAAATACATTCCGTGTTCGTCAATCTAATTGTTAATTAAAATGAAGCTTCGCTTGGTTTTATTTCACCTGTCAGTATGGATTCACTTTTATCCGCATCCGTTGAGGGTGTTGGATCAACGGTGCTACCGATTGACGCATCAGAAACACTTGAAGTTTCGATGGTTGTGAGAGTGATATCGTCTTCAGTTACTGTGCTTGAAACGTCTTCTGATTCAGTTGAGGATTCAGTAACATTTAAAATGTTTGAGATTTCACTAATTTCTGATACCGTTGCATTATCGACATTATTTGTTATCGAAGTGCTATTGTTTCCAGGATTTGCCAAGGGTATTTGGTTTTCGTTCGAAGTGTTAGCAATGTCCAAGTGAGAAGTTAGTTTGTCTGCCGAGGCATGCAACTTGGATGCAATAAAGTGTGCCGTGCTATTGGTAACATACGTTGCTTTATCGATAGTGTCACTGAAAAGTAATGTTTTTATGTGAATGGTTGCATTCAAAAAGGCATCGCTAGTGCTGATTAATCGTGTTGCAATGTCTTTTTTCGATGCAATCACATCTTGTAGCAGTGTTATTGTCGATTGAAACACGGTTTTCATTGCATTTCTTGTGACATTCATGGCACCAAGTGTGAAACGATGCCCAATTCCAATTGACAATTCATTTGATGCTGAATTCGATATTAGCAATGTTGTAGCATTTAAAAATGTTGCAACCGTTTTTGATGATGCACACAATAGATTTGCCGTTTGATTAAGAACCATTGTATTTGTATTTGTATCGTTGTTGGATTGGATTACGTCGACAATTAATTGATTTGTGATATTCAATAAAATCCCCAGTGAATTAGTTGTGGCATTTAAAATATTTGTCGTCGAATTAAGAAGCTCAGCAATGAACTGGGTGTGATCGTCATGGGTGGATTTTGTGAAAAGCATCGATGTAGCATCCATAACATTCGCCAGAGACTGACCCGTCACATTCACTAGATTTATCGATTTATTGAGAATCTTTTCGGTTAAGTTGGATTTACGATCGGACAGAGAAGTTGGCGGCGTTGTCGTTTTCAACAATTTTCCAACAAGATTACCAGTTTTATTCATAAAATTTGTTGAAATATGTAGCATTCGGTTGGCTATGTTCGTTTTTATGGCAATCAATTGATGAAGCCGGTTGAATTTTGCGTTCAGTATACTGGCAACGACAGTCGATGTCGTGTTTAGAAACATAGACGATGCATTCGCCAGTTTTCCACCCAAAAAATGTGCACGGTCAATGGTCGATAATTTATTGGTGGTGTTCAAAGCCAGTGTTAAAACGTCTGACATCGTGTTTATTAAGTGTGCCGTCCGATTCACTCCGTTTGATATTTGATTTGAGGCGGACCATGCCAGATTCGTTGATGCCGCTTTTATATTATCAAAAAGTCGAAGTTTTCGTGCCGTTGGCGTGTCGGTTGGAAAACTCTAAAAATAAAACCACAACAACATTTTTCGGTGAAACAAATTTGAAATTCGATTATAGAAGACTCACTTGTGACGCAGTAACAAACATAACAAATATCAAAATTAACACTTTCATTTTAATAATAATGAATTTTGTACTTTTTTGAAATTGATACAGACAGATACAGGTTAAACGATCGATATAAAGAGCACTAATGAGTATAATTTTACTTGTTTTTCCTTTCACCGTAGTACTTTTTTTTAACACTCCTCGCACCATTCTAAATTGAATATCGTTTCATTTCAATCTTTTATATGCTGTGTATTGAATGTTTCGGTTATGTGTGTGGTCGACAACATTAAGCAATGCAACAGATTTCATTTCATAACTTTATCTTTATGCCGTTATCAAAGAACTTACTAATGGGCCATTTGGATCGTTTGTCAGTTGTTTAAACACCGAGAGAATGAGAAAAAGTTTTTAGCTGAATCGGTAATTGAGTCTTATATTAGGTTGCGACATCATTTTCCATGATGATATTATTATGTGGAAATTTCTGTTAAACAGTGATTGCATCTTTTCGTATTGTTCTCGATTATTACAGACATAAATAAACAAGTTTTGTTTGTTAAATTGATTTTCACTTAGTCGGTGTTTGTTTCATCAGTAATAATGAATCCTCTTCTCCATATCTCTCTCTCTCTCTTTCTCTCTCTCTCTCTCTCTCTATCTTTCGCTCATCGCTTCATAATTACCCAATATATTTTGGTTAATAAAGTGTATGGCTTCTCGCCCCAACTGAATGAGTTCTTCGTTCCAAATTTCGTTCATTGAAATGCATACTAAATCTTGCACAAAATGAGCGAAATTTTATGTCAAAAATTGATTAAATTATTCATTCAAATTCAATATTGTTTCCTGTTGCATAAAGATCATGCGACATAGATAGCAAAGTGAAGTGATACACTTGTATAGTTTATTCATGAGATTCAATTTTTTGTTCAGTTAATATTTCCATCGGTGGCTCCGTCATATCTTTACCAATTCAATCTAGCATACAGATTGCAAACGAATTTATCCAGAGAACAAAAAATTCATTTCCAAATTCAAACCACCACACAATTTGAATTTTAGTGCTGTTACAACTTCATATCTTTCATTTGTTCTCACGCATCGCAAACAATACACACATACATACATTATTCAAATTCGTCAACGACTGTAATTTATTTTTATATAGTTGTTCTGTAGCACTGCTCATTCTGTGAGCACATTTGTTTTAAATTCAAATTTGCTATCTCGTTCGGCTTGCGTGTGCTTTTTTTCTATTTGCTCAAGTGTGCTCGCCAACTGCATACACACATGTACTTACACAAGATGTAAATTGTGCTTGTCGGTTCGTGAGTTTGATGATACTTATTTAAGTTGAATTAGGTTATCGGGTTGCAATTAAGTACTGAACTCAAGCAGGCAACTGCATGTAAGTGACAAATGAACGGCTTTTTATGCGACGTATAACTACGCGATTATAATTAATTGTAAGTGTACGCGCGCTCGCGATATGCCATGCAACAGCAAATGAATTGTAAACAATACAGAAGTTTCTTCATATAGCATAGCTATTTAATCAGATGACCGATCTTATAACATTTCAAAATTGCATTTTAATTATTTCTTGTGTGACTCAAACTTAGTTTGAGTGTAAATCACGTTTTCATATCCTCCAATTTGCATAAAGAAAATCTCCTTCACACACACACATGCGCACACACACACATTCAACCTTTAAAATGTCTTACTTGCTCGAAGTGACTTCTCTATTTTGCATAATTAAAACTTGAATTTTGCCAATGCAGCCATTGCACGTTTCATTTTGCCTTCTCGCTTCGAAAATTAAGCGAGAGAGATTAAAAGGAAAAGATTTTTAATGAAATAGAGAGGAAGGGAGAGAGAGAGACCGAAGCAGAAAAAGCTAGAAAATTCAATTCATGTCCTTTTGTTGCTGTTTTCAATGCATGGGTTCCATTCTTCACCCACCTTTTTACATCAAATTTGAATAATAGCTTCGAAATATGAAACATGTGTCAACTAAACTATGAAAATGTAATAAGAATAATTTTTTTTAAACGATGTTGACTCAATGCATACCCAATCGTAACTTTCTATTTATTTAGCCTCGATTCATAGTTATGTATGTCGGTGTACAGGAGCGTGTGTTTACAATTTCATTTTTCTTTTCATTTGAATAATGGCAGACTTAAGTGAAGTTTGTTTTCTTTTTCACTTAGTCAACACAGAAAAATATCTAATGATCAAATTGATTGTTGCAATCCAAAACATAAACAGACGATATAATTCATAAAAGAAAAACTTTCGCAAATTTTCCACTTCTGAAAAAATGTTGTGCCGGTTGACATGATTATGCTGCGAAAAACTTCTGATGGTGCTGGACACTATAAGTACATTTCCAATGGGATTTGTCCATTTCATCCTTGAACAACTGAAAAGTTTGCATCGCCCTATTGAAACAAAAACTCTTCAGCTTTGCACGACAATGATCAACTCTATCGCTTTTCACCTTTTCAAATTGGCATTATAAAGACGGCCTCTTACGTGTACACAAAAAGGAATCGATAAAAAAGACGAATAAGAGATGTATATAAAAAGTTTGTTTTGACTTCCTTTTGTTTAGCATTGGCACAGATTTCCACGGTGAAGCGGATGATACAGCAGAAAATGATCCAAGAAAAAATAATAAATAGCGCAAAACACACAATAACCACATCGAGAATTGTAAAATATATATACAATCTGGTTTTAACGAGCTGTAACATTGCAACAATGACAATGATGTCAATAATAAGAAAGAAAATGCTACCATCAATGTTTCTGTCATCTTCGTTCTTCGTTATGTCAATACGTTAGATTGTCAATCGTCGCAGTATGGCAATCGCAATGGGTGGGTGGATCAGTCGTTGTTTGTTTCTTTGTGTGTACAAATCACATAATAACATTATATAACTTTGTATATGCATGACATTGACATTTTCTATAAAATGAACGTACCGCGATAAACCTTTTCAATAAATAAGTCATAGTGGTGAAGGGAAATCCACCTGGATGGCTGTCACAATGGGATGACAGTGAGGACGTTATAACACATCAGAATAAAAATTGAAAAACAACATCAAATTAAATTGATATTTATTTGTTTTTCATCCCCCGTTTCGACGTGATTGCGTAATAATAACGTACATTTGATGCGCTTCAGCACGGTTTTTCTCCTCCTCTTTTCTCTTTTATCTCATTATTTCCAATTTCTCCCATGAGTATACAGCGAAAATAAATAAATGCATTTGTGCAATGTGTCGTACCGAAAATGACATCCACAAATAATAAAATTGTTTACCGCATTTCACAGTTGAATGAATTCCAATGGGCCAATGCGCGCAAGCAAAAAGCGCTTGAGCACACATATCATGATGATAGTGTTCGCTTTCTTTAACACCATCAATAGCCTTTCGAGTGCGCTTTGTACTTTGTCTGTCTGCTCTTTTCCACAACCTTCGTTTGTCAAGCCCTTGTTTGTGTCGTGAAAATATATCCTTTTCACAAGAAAAAAACCATACCTTTTTCTTTTTCCACAAGATTACGAACTTCTTGGAACTGAACTGTTAATCAGCCCATTTGAACTGAATAATTTGGTTTTATGTCGTCTCGAATTATAATCGTCGTCTGTATTAATAATTTTTCGTTACGATGAAATGGCGAATTATAATGTGATATGCTTTATTTACAATAAATGTTTCGTTTCTTTTTTCCATTAGTTCCATTTTGTTAGTTCATTTTTAATTAATAGCTATATAAACAGCTACTGTTACACGTCGATTATTTAATCTTTGTATGAAAATGGTTATAATTCGGACTTGAATGAAACAAATCGAAGTTCAGGTCATAAAATCGCATGAGCACGCAAAGTTTAATTATATGAGCATAACAATGGACGTGATAATATTAACAAAAGTGGTTGCCAGTCATAATTTGCTGTTGATTTATATGCAATATACAAAATGTAGATAAATGTGCCATTATTTTTATTTGGCTCACTTTTTTTATCAGCAAAAATCCAATTTTTGAGTATATATTTCATTCGGTTCTCATTCAAATCAGCAGCTCAATTGGGCTTTGAGAATCCATTGTTATTTATTTGCATGCAAAATGTCACCTGAAATCCCGATTTTTCAGTCGAATGGTTCACAGCATCTCTGTACAAATCTACACATCAAAGTTAAGCGGATTACATCGGTCTTTATTCTCTCTTTTTCACAATTTGTTCAAACAATGAAAGCTCTCAACGTATGACAAGGTGTGATAAATACATTGTTTCCATCATTTACATCTGCGGCATTTTACATGTTTTCACGTAAATTTATTCATATTTCACACACTGTGCCCGTCGCACAGTGATCTCGATTGCACAGACCACAAAATGCAAATCTACATATGAGTATGTTGTGAATTAAGTAAGCTTAGTGCGATGAAGACTGTTGGCTATGTGCATTTAAAAAAAGAGCTTAAACGTGTTTTTTGTATGTGACTTCATTTCATTGATTCAAGGAATCATTGGCCTTGGGGTTCATTTCAAGTTAGCACATTTGATTTTGTTTCAATTAACATAATGTTCAGTATTTAATCTCAGATTGATGCATGAATTTTACATAACTCATCTCGAAAAATCCAATTAAATTCAATGGAATTTGTCAGGATTCCCCTTCAAGATTGCAACACAAATTTCTCTGAACTCTCTCTCTGAAATTGCGAAAATTGCTTGCGATTATATAATATATATTGAAGTACAAAAAAAAAATTATCGCGCTTGAACTAATTCTTAGCACTGTGTATACAACCAAAAATATTAAACATTTCAAAAGCCAACTTCTCTTCAATCAAATAAAGTGAGACGAAGACGTCATACACAGGAATATAGCAGAATGATTGTCTATTTTTAGAAGCATAAACGCAATTTTACCATGACCTATAGTATCAGGCACCCAACACTGTGCGTAATATTCGGAAAAGATGGAGCGAAGGCAATTTAACATTGTGATGAAGGATAACATTGATATTGCAGGTTTTTGTGTAACAAATTCCTTCGGCCATATAATCATATGAGCTATGATAAAATTACATTGACCCATTGCACATAAACTTCCAAACACAAAAGAATATCATAGACATTGTCTATGAGCATATAAAGAAAAAATG